GGCTGATCACTCCTCCGTGACCAGCTCTTACGTACGAGGGCCAAAGATGAGCATAGTTGCTGGACAGTTTCTCTGATCTCTCAAACCCCCTCTTGTCCCACGTTGGCTCTAATATAAGTGAATCCGGTGGCTTTGGATTATGTCCAAGTCAAATCCTGCCTCTGTAATTACGACCTATGTAACCTGGAGAGTTCTATTTTCTGAGCCTATGAAACAGTTCTTGCAAATCCTCCTATGGTTGCTGCGAAGATTAGGTGAGATAATATGCAACTTTCTGTATAGAGTTCCCTCTCTTGATAATGAATACATCACCTCCCCCAGTCACGGGCTGTGAGAGCAGGAAAGTCAAGCAGAGATCAGCCCCTCACTAGACAGGTGGAGGGAAAGGTCCAGAGCAGCTTGCTGGAGACAGCTGAGTGCCCACATTTCCCTCCGGTGCCTTCCAGGAACTTTCTGTGGTTTCTGCGCCATTGACTTCCCTAGAGTGCAATGAGCTTGTTCACTTGGGGACTCCGCTTCCTTCAGTTCTGGAAACGAGGGCATCATCTCTTTGAATGTCACTCTTCCCTTCCTATCCAGGCTCCTCTCCGGGGACTCCTACCAGATGCTGCTCAGAGCTTTCTCTTTTGCCCTCTGTGTCTCCCAAATCCTTGCTCGTAGTTCTCATCTCTTTCTCTGTCCTGCGTTCCAGGGGATTCCCCAGTCATGTCTTCGAAGGCTCCGGTTCTGCATTTCGATCTGTGGCTTCTCCTGCCCGAAGGGATTTATGTGGTTCCGATGTCATAACTCTTTTTTTCATTTTCGCATCTCTCCTTCAAATCTCCTGTGTGTTCACAAAAGCCCATTCTTGCTTCATGGATTCTATGGATTCTTTTATCTTCATGGATTATCTTCATTATCTTCATTATATTCATGGATTCTTTTATCACTTTAAGATCTGTATTTTTTTTAAGTCATGGTAAAATGTACGTACCATACACTATACCATTCTGTCTTTAAGCGCGAGTTCAGGGGCACTGAGGACATTCATACTGTCCTGCAACCATCACCACCATATTTTTCAAGTCCCTGCTTCCAATTCTTTTGAATGTGGGCCCCATATTGCGATTGCTTGATCATATGGTAATCCTATAATTTTTTAAGGAGCCACCACACTACTTTTCACGGTGGCTGCACTATTTTATATTCCCAGCGGCAATGCGCAAGGCTTCCAGTTTTTCCATGTGTTGGCCAACAGATGAGGTTTTCTGGGTAGTTTGGTAATAATCATCCTAGCAGTATCTCCTGGTTTTGATTTGTATTTCCCTAATAATTAATAATAGTATCTTTTCAAGTGCTTATTATCTGTTTATACCTCCTCTTTAGAGAGATGTCTATTCAAGTCCTTTGCCCCCCGCTGAATTGAGTTTTTTGTTTTTTTTTTTAATTGTCCAGTTTGGGAGTTCTTTATATATTCCAGATCTGAATCACTTACCAGATGTATGATTTATGAACACTTTCTCCCTTTCTGTGGGTTGTCTTTGTGCTCTGTTGTTAACATCCTTTGATGTGCAAAGGTTTTTTAAATTGATGAAGTCCAGTTCGGTTTTCGTTGTCATTGCTGTCTGTGTTTTTGGGGTCCTAGCCAAGACAGCACTGACAAATCGAATGTCAGGAAGCCTTTCCCGGGTAATTTCTTGAAAGAGTTTCATGATCTTAGCTCTTATGTTTAGGTCTTTAATCCAGTTTCATTTACTTTTTCCATATGGTGTAAAGATCTGTATTTTAAGTCCTTTCCAGATTGCTCCAAGACCCGTCCTTCCCCAGGTGTGTCTGTCATTTAGCAAAGGCTCTGGAGCCAGAGCATGGGGATTTGAGTCCCACCTCCACTTTTCGCCAGCTGTGTGACTGTGAGCAAGTTCCTCAACCTCTCTGTGCCTCCGTTTCCTCATCTCTAAAGTGGAAGTGTTGATCACAGTACATACCTCATATGTTTTTTACGAGGATGCCTATACTAAAAGCTCTCAAAGAGTCCCTAGCACCTGGAAAAGTACTCAGAGGAGACTGGTGAGCACCAATGACCCTCACAGCACTGTCCTTTCTCTTGGTCATCTTGACCTATGAGCCAGTTTCAGTGGGAATATTCTTCTTCAGGGTCACATGCGCACAGCATGTGCATGTGTTGTAAAGATGTTCCCAGGGTCAGGTTCATGGTTGCTTCTTGTAGGACCCCCTTAGAAAGGAAGCCATCTGCCAGCTCTCAGCTCAACGGAGGATCAGTTCTCCCCCTGCAGGCCGCCATGCTGCAGCGCTTTGAACACGGATGTACTCAGATTTCCCATTCGGCCCCCACTCACTGTGGCATGAACCCTCTTTGTCTCCCCAGCATCTGAACAGTTCCCTTTCTTGCTTCCCATCTCAGCTCTGTAATTTGCATTTTAAAAAGCACTATGTTGGGGGTACCTGGGTGGCTCAGTCAGTTAGGCTTCTGCCCTCAGCTCAGGTTGTGAACTCAGGGTCTTGGGACTGAGACCCACATGGGGCTCTCTTCTCATTGGGGAGTCTACCTCTCCATCTCATTCTCCCTCTGTGCTCGCGCGCTCTCTCTCAAATAAATGAATAAAATCTTAAAAAAAAACCAACACTATTTTTAAGCCCAAATAGCCAAAGCAATCTTGAGAAAGAAGAATAAAACGGGAGGCATCACACTTCCTATCTTCAAACTATGTACCAAAGTCATTGTATTCAAAACAGTATGGAACCAGCATAAAAACAGACATATAGATCAATGGAACAGAATAGAGAGCCCCCAAATAAACCCACTTATATATGGTCAACATATTTATGACAAAACAGCCAGGAATATGCACTGGGGAAAGGATAGTTTCTTCAATAAATGGTGTTGGGGAAGCTGGACAGCCACATGCAAAAGAATGAAACTGGGGCCCTATCTTACATCATGCGAAAAAGTCAACTGAAAATGCATTAAAGAAACAAGCATGAGGCCAGAAGGCATAGAACTCCTATGAAAACATAGGTGGTGAGCTCCTAGACATTGGTCTTGCCAAGGATTTTTTTTGGATTTGACACAAAAAACAAAGATAACAAAAGTAAAAATCAACAGGTGGGATGACATCAGACTAAAAAGCTCTTACACAACAAAGTCAATCATCAGCAAAATGAAAAGGCAACCTACAGAGCGGGAGCAAATACTTGCAAATTACGTATCTGATAAGGGATTAATAGCTGAAATATATAAAGAACTCTTACAACTCAAAACAAACCAATTAAAAAATGAGCAGAGGAACTGGATAGATATTTTTCCAAAGACAAAATACAGATGGCCAACAGGTGCAAGAAATGGTGGCCAACATTACTAAACATCAGGGAAATGCAGATCAGGACCACAATTAGCACCTCATGCCTGGTAGAAGGGCTGTTATCAAAAAGAAATAACAGGTGCGGGCAAGGATGGGGAGAAAAGGGAACCCTTGTGCGCTGTTGGTGGGAATGTGAATTGGCAGCCACTATAGACAACGGTATAGCGCTTCCTCAAAAAGTCAAAAATAGAACACTATATGACCCAGCAATTTCATTTCTGGGTATTTATACGAAGAAAATGAAATCCCTGTCTTGAAAAGTTATCTGCACTCCTGTGTTCATCGCAACACAACTTACAATAACCAAGACACGGAAACAACCTACGTGTCTAATGACAGGTGAATGGATAATGAAAAGGTGGTAAAAAACTGAGCCCATAGACATAGAGAACAGATTCGTGGTTGCCAGAAGTGGGGGTGGGAGGGTCGGCAAAATGGGTAAAGGTGGGCAAAAGGCATCAGCTACTGGTGATAATATAAATAAGTCCCGGGAAACGTAAGGTACATCACGATGACTATCGTTAACGACCACAAAATTCTGTATTTTATCAAGCATGTCTATATGCTTGAAGCAGAACTCAGTCAGCCAGCTTACCCAAAAGTGTCACTGATTTTTTTCTTTCCTGGTGTTTTAAATAATTTTGATCATAGCATCATATCTGGAGGGTTATTTGGTCAGTTTTTCTGGGGGATGTCGGCTCAGGCGAAGAGGTGAAGCACCTGGGAGATTGTGGGTACACCTGGGCTGAGAAGGGGGAGTGAAAGGAACATAGGGTCGAAGGCATGTGAGTGTGGAGGAAAGCAAATCTGAGCAAAAAATCCCAAAGGGAGATAGATGGGCTCATCTCCCACACGCTAAGTGTGTCAGGCTAGTGGGGAGTCACCAGGCCAGCAGAGAGCTGGGGTCTTGCCAGCTGGTGTTCCAAGCAGGCTCAGGTACTCAGGGACATGCATCTTGAGTGGAAGGTGCCAACCACTCATTCCCCAGAGCCCTCACAGCCCTCTGCCCTCTGTGCTTCTTCCTGACTGCAAACTCATAGCATGAGGCTATCCCTGGGGAAACAGATTTAAGGACAAGGGGAGGGGAGGAAGGGTCCTGCGTCGCCTGAGGGATGATCACACATCCCATAAGAGAGAAGGAGGCCAAAAACGAGAACATAAGAGGTTAGGTCAAAAGAACAGGGAGAGACAACTGGGCTTCCAGATTCCAGAGACCCAGAGACATCACTTCCATACTTCTAACCATTCACTCACCCATTCATCTTTCTATCCACCTTCTCAGAGGTAATGCCAGCCTGCGGAGGGCAGGGGTCTCACCAATCCCCGGCCAAGGTCCAAGGGTGGTTCCAATGCCAAGGAAAAGTGACCAAGTGGACCAAAATAAGCTTTGGCCTAAAAATCAAGAGCCCTGGTTCTCTTCTTGGCTCTGCCACTCGTAGCTGTGTGAACCAGGTCATGTGGCTTGACCTCAGTCTCCTCACCTGTAAAATGGGAACAGTTGGACCAGAAGGTGGGTGGAGGTTTTCCAGTTCTGACATTCCATGGCTAACCCTTCAGCTCCTGATGTCACAATATGGAGCTGGACTGCGATTGGCCCACAGCCTCACCCAGCTCTGCTGTTCTCTTGGCCATGGGCACAAGATGGACTTGCCATGGACCTTCCCTATTTGTGCTCTTCTGTTATGGGCAGCTCTTGCCTTGGCTCAGGACCGAGGATGATCAGAGCTTAGGTGGGGCTGGGACCTGAAGGAACCGGGGACCAGACAAGGGGACCAGTTAGGGGCAGGCCCCTCCCAGGACATCATGATGCCCACCTCCTTCTCCGCAGACAAGTTCTACAATGAGACCGTGGCAAAGGCGTTCCTGCAGTTTTATGAACAGACCGCCCAGGTTGTGTGGAACCAGTTCATGGAGGCCACGTGGAACTATGTTACCAACATCACCAAGAAAAATCGGGAGGAGATGGTGTGGTACCACCTCAACTCCAGCCCCTTCTCCCCTTGCTCTTCTCAGGGATCTGGGGGGATTGGGGGAATCATACCTTCTGGCCCCTGTCCAGAGCTAGAGGAAGGAGGGAATCCCCAAAGTACATGTCAAAGCAGGCTGCAAGCTCTGGGCCTCTTGCTGGCCCGAGAAGCTCCCTGGGCCAGAATCTCTGGTTTCTTTCCCCTTATAAATATCACCTCCTTGCTTTTAAGGACCCAGGCTCCTCCCCTTCTCCCTCTTAGCGAATTTCCAGTGATTGTGACCCCTTAAAGTAGGCTTTGGGAGGAGGTTGGGAGGACTGTGACCCTGGAGTTCAATGTGGGGCCCTTCCTCCCTCCCCCAATTTCCCATGGTAAATATGGTGACCCTCATTCCAGCTGCACAAGGACTCAGAGAGGTCCCGGCACATGCTGTACTTTGGCACCCGGGCCCACCTGTTTAAGACCTCCAGGTTCCAGGACCCGGCTGTGAAGCGCATGCTGAGTAAGCTGCAGACCATAGACAAGGCGGCCCTGCCCCAGGACGAGCTCCGGGAGGTGATGGACGGAGCCCCCAGGTCTCCAGGCACATGCTCCCCACCCCAGGGGTGGGTGGGCTGGCCGGGAGGGAAGCCAGACTGCCTGGGCAGGAGGGGGAGGGGGATGGGCAGGGCTAGAGTTTCCTGGGTGGTGGAGGGTGGGAGGAGAGAAACAGAGGCTGGCGGGAAGATGCCTCAGACAGGCCTGCCCCTCCCAGCTGGTGGGGCTAGTGCTGGGGGTGGGCCCACGGGTGCAGGCCTGCTCTAGGTGACACCTGCCCCACCCCAGTACAACCAGCTTCTGGCCTACATGGAGACGACATACAGCATGGCCCAGGTGTGCCTGAATGAGGGACCCTGCCTGCCCCTGGAGCCTGGTGAGCCCTCAAGCCTCATTCCAGTCTAACCCCAGAGTCTCCAGCATGGGCCCCTTCCACAAGCCTAGCCCCCACCCTCCATGCCCCAGCTGCACTCACTTGTTGGAGGGTGTGGCGGGGGGAGGGGTGGTCTGCTGAGGCAGGAGAGGGCAGGAGGCAGGCAGGAGTGGGCGGGTCCCACCTTGGCTCCTTTTTCCCCTGGCATAGACCTCCAAGAAGTCATGGCCACCTCCCGGGACCAGAAGGAGCTGCTGTGGGCCTGGCAGGGCTGGCGGGATGCTGTGGGTCGTCAGCTCCGCCTGACCTTTGACCGCTACGTGCAGCTCAGCAACAAGGCTGCAAAGCTCAATGGTGAGGCCCCCACCCCCCCCAACCCCGGCCAGCCCAGTCTGCGCAGATGGCACAGGGCGCAGGCCTCGGTGGGAAGGGCAAAGCAGATTCTGCAGGGGATAAGGGCAATAGTAGGACCTGGAGATGGGGACCCTGAGCCCTGCAGCTGGGGGAAGCAAAGGGGTTTCATTTACCACCATTAGTCTACAGATATCGCTTGAGCACCTACTGTGTGCCAGGCCCTGGAGCGGTTCTAAAGATTTGTGGGTGAAAAGACAGAAGATGCCCATCCTCCTAGGCAGGGCCTACGATCGGGGGACAGACAAGATTTGTGCAAATGCACATCTCTGGACAAGTGCCCAGAGAGAAGGGGAAGAGAAGGCCTCAGGACACTTCCCCAAGGCCTGAAAGAAGGCAAGCAAGAAGTGGAAGAGCCGCCTAGGCCCCACAATGGGAGGATGTGAGAGGAGCCAGGTGGTCTTAGGGCTTGGACAGGTGGGGTTCGAGGTGGGCCTGAGGACCAGGGCCTCACTGGGTCCTATCCAACCAGGCACGGTAGGAGCATGGAGTGTGTACTTTGCCAAGTGCTTTTCCACCCCTGATCTCATCCAGTCTGAACTTGACCTTGGGAAGCACATTTCCCATTTGGCAGATGAAGAGCCTGAGGAACAGGGAGGTCAAACGGCTTCCCCAGAAAGTGCCCGGGGTCTCCTGCCTGCCAGGCCGGCGCTGCAGGAAGGGTGGGTGGTGAGTGCATCTGAGCTCCCCCTCTCCTGTCCTAGGTTACACAGACATGGGGGCCTTGTGGCGGTCCAAGTATGAGTCTGACACGCTGGAGCAGGACCTGGAGCAGCTCTACGAGGAGCTGCAGCCACTGTACTTGAACCTGCACGCCTACGTGCGCCGGGCCCTGCACCGCTACTACGGGCCCGAGCTTATCGACCCGAGGGGGCCCATCCCCGCTCACCTGCTGGGTAAAGCCCTTGCTGGTAGCAGAGTGGGGTGGGCAGAGCGGGCCTCCAGGCTGGCCCCCAGCAAAGAGAGGGGCATTCCCCGGACTCCTCTGAGCCCCTGCACGCCCCTTCCAGGGAACATGTGGGCTCAGTCCTGGGTCAACATCTTAGACCTGGTCCTACCCTTCCCAAAGAAGCCCCCTGAGGATATCACAAAGAACATGAAAAGCCAGGTTAGTACTGGTCCTCCCTCTGCCCCTGCTGGCGCTGCCCCACTCCCCCATCCCCCATATCCCCCCCTGCTCCCCGGGCAGGGCCCCACGCAGCCCCTCTTCCCCACAGCACTGGAAGCCCTCCAAAATGTTCGAAGAGGCGGATAAGTTCTTCACCTCCCTGGGGCTGCTTTCCACCCCTCCCAGCTTCTGGAAAAAATCCATGATGGAAAGGCCAGCTGACGGACGGGAGGTGGAGTGCCACGCCTCCGCCTGGGACTTTTACAACGGCAAGGACTTCAGGTCTCACCCTGCGCCAGCACCACCCTCCCGCCCCTCTCTCACCCTTCTTCCCCTCCACCGGCTCCTCCTTCGTCCACTGGTCTGAGGAGGTGCGTCAGGAGGTGTGTGAGCAGGGCTGGAGCCCGGAGGCAGAGGAGGATGTGAGCTGGTAACGTGGGTGAGGGGTACCCAGAGTGAGAAGCAACAGTACCCAAGGCCCTGATGATCTCCAGCCCGACTGCCCCAGTCCCTCCGTGGAGTCTGAATCCAGAGATCTCCCCTTGTCCCAGGGCCTCCCCGTGCTCCTTGACCCCTGCCCTTTAACCCTAGGATAAAGAAGTGCACCGAGGTGACCATAGAAGACCTGCTCTCCATCTTCCACCAGATGGGCCATATCCAGTACTTCCTGCAGTACAAGAACCTCTCTATGATCTTCCGCGCAGGCGCCAACCCAGCCTTTGAAGAGGCCGTGGGGTCCATGATCACCCTCTCGGCCTCCTCCCACAAGCACCTGCTCAACAGAGGCCTGCTCAGCCACCAGCACCAGGACTCAGGTGATGGGGACCAAGAGAACCATAGCAGGGCCACCAAGCCTGAGGCTGCCCCCTGGGCTCTCTGGGAAAAGCTGAAGGGAAGGTGAGCCAGGAGCCACCTCCTAACTGCACCCTCTTCCCCAGAGGAGGAGGTCAATTTCCTGATGGGCATTGCCCTAGAGAAGATCGCTTTGATCCCTTTCGCCTACCTGATGGACCTGTTCCGCTGGAAGGTCTTTGATGGCACCATCCGCAAGGACGTCTACAACCAGGAGTGGTGGAACCTCAGGTGGGGAGAGGATGGCCGCCCTGGGCTCTCCGCCCCCTCTGCCCCTGGTGGGCCGGGCTTCCAGGTCAGCCTCATGGATACTGCCCATGCCGTGTCCTCTCTATGATCTTCTGCGCAGGCCCCAACCCAGCCACTGCACACGCACACGCACACACACACACACATACCTGCCTCTGGTTTAGCATCCTTAGGCATGTCCAAGGTCAGAACTGGCTGCTGAAAGAGCCCGCTAGCAGTCAGGCAGCACCCCGCTTGAGCAAGGGGCATCCACGGTACGTCTCCTCACCGACCACTGGCTGTCTGATGGGAGAATGAATGGCCAGGGCACCCCATCTCCACCAGGCCTCAGTATGACCTGCTCAAGTCTGCCAGGCACAGCGTGGTTTAGGGTGACCATGAAGGGGCTGCCAGCTCTGCAGGAGGCCCTTCTGTTTCTTTGATCCTGTGCAACGTCCCAGGGTCATTCGCAGGAGCAGAATGTGTGAGCAGCCCATGGTCCCACGGCACCCCAGGGTGGCAAAGCTGGGTGCTCCTCTCTTTGTCCACTCTCCCTCCTAGCCCTCCCCCTCGCCCCCCGCCGAATTCAGGCCCCAGACTCACTAGTGAGGTTGGCAGAGTCTTGACCTTGTACTCCTCCAAGGGCAAACCCCACTAGCCATCTGGGCTTACCCACAGGGAACCTTTCCCTTCCTGGGTCAGCTGCACCTACCACCACCAGCAGGGGAATCCAGGGGCACAGGGAGAGAGGTGGCAAGTTCCTGGGCCTGAACAAGGAAGGCTCTGTCAACCGGGAGAGATACCACCCCACTGTCTGTCGACGGCAGAGCATGCCTCAGAGGCAACCAGTGAGCCAATAAACAATGAGAACTTTGCATAGACTTTGTCTCATCCCAGGGATGGATCATTTTACCCCCATCTTAGACAACACTTTGCAACAAGACTCAGTGACAGTAACTTTCCCACAGTCACACAGCCCAGAGGGTTAATGGGATCTGCCAGTGACTAGTTCTGTGACCTCACCAGTTCCTTGACCTCTACACTTTGGTCTCCTGATCTGTAAACTGGGAATGATAACAGCTCTATGCCACAGAGATGCTGGTCCGTTTTCTTCTTGGCTGTTCTTGCCAGATGAGACGACCTTGTTGATTGGTCTCTAATCGTCTTCACCATTAGGATTATAAGCAAGACCTTGCAAAGCCCATTCCCTCCCAAGTCTCCAGAACCATGATAGTGTCGAGTGAGTCTGTGTGAAGAGCTTAGCACGGTTCCTCCGCAGAGGAAGTCAGTGTTAACCACTATTACCATTTGACGCTGATTCCCAATCCCCTGTGTTTTCAACTCATTTATTTAATCTATAAAAATGCATGAAATGTCCTAGGTCAGCCAAGTCCACTTTTGGTAACTGTGCAAATACTTCTAAAGGAAGAGGCTCTGAGAACCCAGCTGGGTGGTACCGGCCCCCCATTCTCCCTGGCAGGTTGAAGTACCAGGGCCTGTGCCCCCCCATCCCTCGGACAGAGGATGACTTTGATCCCGGTGCCAAGTTCCACATCTCTGCCAGCATGCCCTACATACGGTAACGGTCTGGGCCTGCCAGCAGAGGCAGCTCTGGGAGTTGGGGGTTGGGAGTGGGGCTTGGGAACTGGGCTGAGGATTCCCAGGAAGGCCCTGGATCCAAATGTCCCCCCCACATACCCACCTGTCTGTTGGGTTGCACAGCCCACCCTGGGATAATTTGGGCTTTTAGATCAGATCCTGCATGGAGGGCAGAGCTGTTGGGAAGGTTCTAAACCATTTCTACTGTCCCCAAGAGGAGGGCAGGGAAGAAGGAGGCAAGGGCTGGTTCAGAAGGCTAAGGAGGAGAGCCCCTGGCTGAGGTGGGCCCTTGCCGAAGGAGCCTCCACCCAGAAAGACTGGCCCTGGCAGAGCCCTCGGGCCCCTGCCCATCAGAGCGGCCGGCCTCCAAATGGCTCTGGGCTTCCCACCCCTGCCACCAGCTCCCCAGCCTGCCCTCCCGTTCCTCTACCCAGGTACTTCCTCAGCCTCGTGCTCCAGTTCCAGTTCCACGAAGCGCTGTGCAAGGCCTCGGGTCATGTGGGCCCCCTGCACCGCTGTGACATCTCTAACTCCAAGATGGCTGGGAAGCTCCTGGAGTGAGTGCTCTCTTCCCTGGTTTGTTCTCAGCTCCCCCTGCCCCTGCCTGGACGCTTAGCCCCTGGCCCCCTGTCCTCACCAGGCCACCTGGGTACCTCGACCAGGCCTCATGGACCTTAGAGTGGAGGGGAAGTTCTTCCTTGTGTCAGACTGCAGTCTCTCCGACAATAATCAAAGCCCATTTCCTTGTGTGTAGCCCCTCATGCTCAGATGCACTCTCTGGCCTCTGCTGCTCACACACACACACACACACACACACACACTCATATTCACAGTCATTCTCATACCCACACACTCACACCTTCTCACACACAAGCTTGCACACACTCACTACTACACACTCCCTCGCTCACCTGTGCTCGTGGTTCCCCACATGCGCATGCTCACACACACACACATGCCAATAAATCAAACTGTCCCCGATGGGAAGTCACACTGGAGTCTGTCCTCGGCATTCAGACTTCCATCCGACCCCCTTCATCCTTTCTTACCCTTGGCAGCATTGAGGCACCCTCGGGTGCACATGGCTCTTCCCACCTCTTCCTGGAGGTGCCTGGATGCAGCTCCCATGCTGACACCGGTCGCTTTCACACCAGCCTTTGGGATGCGCTGGTCAGCGTGTGGTCCACTTTGACTCCTTACCCACAATCTTTTCTTCCTGCAATTGGGATCCAGCCATCCTTTCTATTCCTGCCTCTGCAGAGGTGGTTTTAGCCCTGAAGCAAACCTGGAGGAGGGTGGGGGGCCGACCCTATGGCGGGGAGCATTTGCTAGTAGAGGCTGGGCTCTTTGAGGAGCGCTCCTATGAGGTCTCAAGTGAGCGGGTCGGAACCTGCAGAGTGGATATGATTAGCCACATTTCATAAATAATGAAACAAAGCTAAGAGAGAAAATACGCTTGCCCATCACTCATCTAGCAAGTGGCAAAATCAGGCTTTGAGTCCCGAACTGACTCCAGAACGCATTCTCATTCACACGGTTGCTTCCACCAATCAAGGGGTCCAGGTCTGGTGAGGTTAGACTTCGGTCCGCTGGCTCCAAGGTCAGTGCTCCCACCACCCGAGATGCAGAGCCCACCCACTCACGTGGTCTTCTCCCCACTAATTTTCAACCCTTTTCAGGGGGTCCATTTCCCTGATTGGTCAAGGTCATCTTGAGTTTTATTCCTGTCTCCCAGAGGATTAACATAGCCACATAATTTAGTATCCTTCAGAAATTTAATGAGCATATTTTGATTCCACCATGGGGTTTGTCAGGAACCACTAGGACGGTTGGAGCTGCGGGACTGTTCCCCTGGCTTTGCTCCCAGGGAGGGCTGCGCCTTGCAGGCTGAGCGTCAACCTGGTCTGTTTGCTTTTCCTTCTTTCCACACTACAGGGGTTTATGATAGCCAATGGCCCGTGTTGGAGCTTTTCTGAACGTGTGGAACATTAGGGGCCTCTCTGCTCTCTGCATTCATGTCTCTGGCCTCCCATCATTTATTCATTCAGCAAACATTTACTTGTGCACGTGCCAATCAGCCTGCCCTGTGTCCAGCAGGGGGCAATGGGCCACAGGATAATGACCACACTACAAGAAAGGTGCTGGTGCGGTAGGAAAGGGCTTTGGTGAACATGCAGAGAGGGTGAGGAGGTCCCGCCAGGGGACAAGGAAGGGATCTCTGTCCCCAAAAGCAGAAGTGCAAGAAATAGTGATATCTGTTTTCTATACATCAACTCATGTTTAACTCTGAGCCTTCACCACGTGATGGGTGGGACATCTGACCTCAGTCATTCCCACCACACCCTCTCCTACCACCACCCTTAGGGCACATGAGGCTCCCAGCATCTGACATGGCACCAAAGCACCTGCCTGTCAACACTGGTCATTGCTCTCGCATCCTCACATGTGGCTATCCAGACCCCTGGATGCCAGGGAAGACCCCAAGTTCCAGGTTTAGGACTTTGAATGCTGTCTTCTGGGCAGAGGTCAGAGGAGAGGGCTCTGGGAAAGGAGGATGTCCTGAGCTTTGGAGAAATGACACAGAGCAGAGTGGAATATAGGTTGGGTGTGGGGGGTGAGTGCTTGCAGAGGAGAAGGGGGAGGGCAAGATTCTTGGCTGCTTTTTTAATATATCTTAGAATTTGACTCATCTTCCTATATGTGATTGCTCTGGGTTGGTTCTGCTGGGAATGGAGAGTTGAAGGGGATTTGATCCAAGTTCCCAAAGCCTTTGGCTCATCTGGCCGCCGTGGTAGGCCTGACCTTGTCCATGGGACACCTTGTAGCCACCTTGGAGTTGAGGGTTCCAGTTACAACCTTTGCAAGTCTCAGGTGCCGGCCACGCTGGCTGTGAGCCAGGCTTGGGTCAAACCTCTTGTTCCACTGTTTCTAAGTGGGCAGACTTTCAGTGGTCAAACTTTTCTCTCATCAGGTCCTTCCTTTCTCCCAGGACCCGCATCTGATAAAATCCTCTTACCTAAATTTAGTTGTGGGGTTTTGTTTTGCTTTTCTTTTAATCTTGATGACTTTTTCCCTGCATTTCTCTCAGATCTTAACTACATTTTCCCCTGGTGGTTTCTGTCAAAGATCCACTAACATTTAGTTTCCCTCTCATTCTTTCTCTGCTGTTTATGAAGCAATGCATACAAGCGTGTGCATGCTACCACCATGATGTGGCTTAGTCTGCACCACGGTGAAAGGTGGGTATTAATGGGACCCATTTTCCTGACGGAGAAACTGAGGCTAAGAGGAGCTGAGTTGATTGCCTGAGGTTATACGGCCCATTAATAGCACTGCTGAGTCTTGAACGTGGGTCCCGTTAGTCTAGACTCCACAGTCCTGACTTGTGGGCCTCTAGAGCCCCTTTCTCTCCTGGTCAGAACGTGGACACAGATTAAGAAGGATCAACCTATGCCCCCCACTGCCTCTGCAGGGGGCCCTAGTGGGAACAGCCTGGAACCCTGGCTTCTGCAAAACACTGTGCCCCCACCAAGCCTCAGGCTGTTCCCCCTGCCACCAAACACCGGGTGTGCTGGGTGACAGCTGACATTAAGGCAGTGCCTCAGGCAATGCATAGAGCACATCCCACGCTGGCCATCTCCCTAATCCTCCCAAACACTCCCTACAACCGGAAAGGCCCCTCCCCCACTGACATAAAGCACCTCATGGGAAACAGTGTCTCAAGACTTTATGCCTCTCTGAGTCCAGGAGAATAATGTTCATCACATAATAATAAGAAGCCCCTAACGTTTATCGCCTGCCTACTATGATTTAATCATCGGGCCAACCCTAGAAGGTAGTACTGTTATCTCCATTTTGTGAATATGGACTCTGAGACTCAGGAAGGTTAAGTCACTGGCCCGAAGCCCCACAGAGTTCAAAGGCAGGTCAGTCTTATTTCAGAGCTTGTGATTCTATCCCTGGCGCTGAGCACTGTGGGAAGAGCCTGGCTAGCAAAACCTTTTGAGGCCAGGGTGGGGGCACACGAAAGGGTCCCAGCAGCACCAGCTGATGCTCCCACACAGTCTCACAGCTGTATCCGATCTTCCAGAGACACCCTAAAGTTAGGCTCCAGCAAGCCCTGGCCAGAAGTTCTGCAGAAGATAACCGGCCAGCCCGAAGTGTCCGTAAGAGCCCTCATGACCTACTTCAAGCCCCTGCTAAACTGGCTGGTCACCGAGAATGTGCGCCATGGGGAGATCCTGGGCTGGCCAGACTTCAGCTGTACCTTTGAAGGTTTGATCGTGACCTTAGTGCTAGCTCTGGTACAGCCCCAAGCCCTACCCCAGACTGCCCTGGGCCAGGCCCCACCCCAACCCAGCTTTAACCCCTAACCTATCTACGACCTGGCTTGAACAAGTAACAGCCCTGTTGCTACATGGCCCAGTCTGCACCTGATGCAGCCTTGGCCAAGACCGCAGCCCTCAGCCCAGCCACTGGCTCAGTTGCTTTCCTGCACACTATTCAGCTAGAAGGCCCGGTTGAGCATAGGATGGGCTTCTTTCCTCCTGACCCTTGCACAGAGCCACCACTGGGCACCATAGGGATGTAGCCCTATCTATGCCCATCTCCTCCTCCTCTCCCTTCTATTCCTCTTTCTCACCCTCCTTCCAGGGCAGTGCCCTCACGTGTGGCTTGGAAGGTAGGTGCCTGAGGCTGAGGGAGGAGGCCAGTGGCAGTCAGGTACTCTGATTTCCTTGGGGCACCCCAGGGCTCTTTCCCTCCTTCTGCCAGCTCTACAAGACTCCCATGTCTTCCACAGAAAAAGACACAGACAAGGTGACGTTTCTGAGTCTGGAGCTGGACCCTGACCAGGCCAAATTTGGGCAGTGGGTGTTGCTGGCCCTCAGCTTGTTCATGTTCCTGCTGGCCCTACTGCTGGCCTGCAGGTTGTACTTCCGGGAAAAAAGGTCACTGTCCCAGGACACCAACGCCCAGGACACTGGTTCACGGGACTCCGGTGCCCCCGAGAAACAGCCCAAGGCCTACTTCCTGGGTGTAGCCATGGCACCCCGCCTAGCTGCCAGAAGACAGTGGATCCTGCTGGGCATCTGCCTGGTCCTGACGCTGTGCTCAATCTGCCTGATCATTCGGATTTTCACACAGCACTACAGGAAGCCTCCGTGGATGAGAGCTGAATGGTGGAGCTGGGACTAGACACCAGTACGACTGGTGAGGCTGGAGGGCAAGAGGAGGGCAGTCAAGGCAGAGAGGGCTGAGGGGCTGGGGAGGAGACCGCTTGAATGCAATGCATAGTGTCCAGCTGCAGTTGGGTGCAGCTGTGGCCGATCTGGGTACATGGGGGTTCGTAACTGTGTGTCTGGAACTCATGTATGTGCGCAGGCTACTGACTTGTGTGATTTCGTGTATGCTCTGGCTTCCAGACCAACCTCCATCCCCTAGGGAGGCCTCAGGAACCATGGTTTTAGCGACCCAGTGACTATGGCATTCCAATCCCATTCCTCACCCCAATTCATGCCCCAAACTGTTCTTCCCACAGCCTGTGAGGCTGGGCCAGGACATACCCAAGGAATGTCCTCTCTGGCTAGAAACAGGACACTGCTTCAATCCTCTTATAAAACATAGTCAAGTAGAACCAGACATTCTGTACAAATTGCTAGTGCCCGTTCATGAGCACTGTGCTCCGTGGGCTACCTCGCACATTTTTCTGCTGATCCCCTGGCCTACCCTGTGTTGGGCTGCATAATCCAGCCCCAAAAGCTGTTTGCCAGCTGCGTGAGATGCAACATGGCCCTCCCTAGCCCAGTCCCAGCTCCCAAATGGAGACAGTGGGGAGCTGGGCACCAAGCCAGGCTTGATTAATGATTGACTTCTTTAATATTTAAACAAAGCTCATCTCCAGCCACTCCGCTCCAGAGATGGCCTTGTTCAACACACACACACCTGCTGCCTGGCCTGTTGCCCTGGGGACGGAGCACAGGGCAAACAGCACCTTTCCAGGCTCAGTGGGGGAGGGGAAAACGGGATGAAGAGAGCTGTAGGAGGGCATTTGGGAAATGAGTAGTCTGGGACAAGCTTGAAAAGAGAGAGCCTCTGCTCCTTCCTCTTCTAGCCCTTTCTTTCTGGCCTGGGTCTGCCCACCACAGGGATGCCATATCCAATACATGTAGGCTCACTGAGTTGGGAATGAGGCTCCAAGGGTGAAAATCAGTGCCTGTCAGAGATTAGGGGAGTCTTGAGGCAAGTAGCCTCATAACCAGTAACCGCAGAGACAGGCAGTAGGGCTACGGTTGAGTTGGTGGGAGCGTAGTGAAAAGATGGGACTGGCTCTGTCTAGGTTAAGGATCTGAATCCAGATGTCAAGGGTTCAGGGAACAAGAGGGACTGGGCTGAGATCTCCATGGATCCTACCTCTGCCCCAGGTTTCAAGAAGTCTTCCTGAGTTCTAGCTAAACCCAAGAAATCCCTGCTCTGCCTGCAGGCTCCATAGCACTCTTATTTGATGTTTCTGTCACTGCTTTTACTTTGCTGTGGTGTAATGTCCTTATTTGTCCCCATTACTAGCTGGTAGCTCTGTAAGGACAGGACACCCATCAGGAGTGTGCCCCTGCATAATATCTTTAGCCAGCAAAGGCCATAGAACATGGTGGAGACTTGGAAAATGTTTGAAAGTGAATGAATGAGTATCCCACTGCCCAAGTCCCCCCTCAAAGCTCAGCATCCTGCTCTGAGTCCACGAAAAACAGCCCCACTTTTCCTCCACAGCCAGCCTGCACCCCCAAATAAGGGGCAGCCAGGACATCTCTGCCCCCCTAGGAGGCCACACTTGCAGCCTTCCCATTCCCCAGCCACAGTGGCCAGCCAGGCCCCCATCCGGCATTGTGGCTCTGCGTGGCAAAGGCACACCCAGCCCAGGACTCCAAGCCTCTCATCTGGACTCCAGCAGAAACCTCACTGAGCCTCCTTGTCCATCCTCTCTCCCCCACCCACCATTGTAAAGTTTCTTTCACTGGAATATTTCCTTCGTGTCTAACTGCCTAAGAACTTGCTTGTCCATCAATTAAATCTAGATGTTCAAAATGGCATCCGAGGGTCTTTATCAATTCCCCTTTTGTCCAAACTTCACCTCTCCCATGCCCCAGCTGAGCCCCTTGGCACTGCTTCCACCACTGGCCTTTGCCTAAGGTGCATGCCCCATTTGAATGCTTGCCTTCCAAGGCCTGACTCAAAACTGTTCATTGGACCCTCTGCAAAGCTCCAAGACCAGCCACTGATGTGCTCAGTGAACAGTGATCATCTCTCCCTCCTCTCCAAGAAGCCTATTTCAATAAACCTCACCCCATCCCCATCTGCTCTGCTAGTGTATTATTTTCAGTCAGTACTCAGACATTTTTATCAGTGGTCACTTGCTAATAGGTGGCTTTAAATCTGCCCCCCCCAACACAAGCAGTGCAGGTAGGCTAAGAGCTCTCAGGCCTCTGAAGAAGATACCTTATTGTATATTTCTTGTATACCTCCATATGTACTCCTACCCATGTTCCCAGGGCCAGGGCCGTGTTGAGCTTGCCACTTAGGAGCTCTGCATGTTGCGCTGGGATTCAGCTGGAGGGCAAACTCGGCAAGGGTGGATTAAGGGTTGTTTTGTTGTTGTTGTTGTTTGTTTGTTTAAGATTTCATTTATTTATTTGACAGAGATCACAAGTAGGCAAAGAGGCAGGCAGAGAGAGAGGGGGAAGCAGGCCCCCCGCTGAGCAGAGAGCCGGATGTGGGGCTTGATCCCAGGACCCCGGGGATCATGACCCAAGCCGAAGGCAGAGGCTTTAACCCACTGGGCCACACTGGGATTAAGGGTTGTTTAACCGTGAAAGAAACAGTCAGCAAAAGACCACCTGAGGCCTCTAACAACTGCTCCCCTTCTCCTCACCCTCCACCTAAAAGACCCGGCCCGGCAAGGTATGGACCGCCCTACGGTAGCGGGCAAGGGTCCGATAGGGGATGAGGCCACTGGCCAGTGGGACAGGAGCAGAAAGAAGCTCGGGAGAGGAGCCCCGACCCATTCCCGGATGCAGCACTTCTGCCCAGCTCCGCCCCCTAGGAGTCAGGGCCCCGCCCCTGCCCCGTCCGGTCGGGAGAAGTTGCCCCCGCCCAGCGAACCCCGCCCCGCCGCCGCGCGGCTTCTTTCAGCACCGCGGCGCGGACAGCTCCGGGGCTGGAGCTGGGGGAGTGAGGCGCGGGAGCCTCGGGCCTGGGGGGGCGGAGCAGGGAGGGCAGCAGAGGGTAGGCGCAGGGGGGCAGGCGGGGCGCGTAGCCCCGCGGCCCACTCCGGGGGCAGCGCCCACCCAGAACCGGACGCCGCTGAGCCCGAGGACAGGTGGAGACGCAGGGAGCCGGGCGCTGGTGGCTCCGGGCGGAGGTTGCAGCCGAAAGATGCCTGTCCGCAGGGGCCACGTTGCGCCCCAAAACACGTACCTGGACACCATCATCCGCAAATTCGAGGGCCAGAGTGAGTGTATGCGTTAAGGTGGGGGCGGATCTGAACTCCTGGTTCGGTGGCAGGAGTGGTGGGACTCCTTTACTTACTTCGAATGGAGCAGAGTGGGGGTTATTGACGCTGAATGCAAAATCCTTCGTTTTAATGTCCCCGGACATCTTCTGTTCCAGCGAGTCCCACTTAACTCAAATGCCACACTCTCCTCTGGACCAAGAGAGGCAGGCTGCAATGCCCCCTTCCCTGAGCTGATTTCTCGGTATCCCAATCGCTGATCTTCCCTTCTGTCCGGCTTCCTCCTCCTGACACCAACCCCCACCCCTTCCTCCAGAGGTTTCCTTGATCCCTCCTTTTCACCTCCTGATCCTAGCCACTCTAATTTTTATAGACGCTCTCGCCAGGCCTGAGCCCCATCTGTTCACATCCTTGCTCCCTCTTCCTGACTCCTTGCACTGACTCCAGGAAGCCTTGGGCCTCTTTTCCACTTCACTGACCCTATTACTGCCCTGGTCTTCCCACTACCCCCAGGCCTGACTCCCCTTCCCCAGCAATTCTCTGGTCACCGTTCTGATCCCCCCCCCTCCTTACCATCACCCTCATTACTTTCAAGAGTCCCATGGCCATCCCCCATGACTCTGGCCTCCGAGGTCTTCCCACCCTCTCCAGACCTGACTTCTCTCCCTCATTCTGGTTACTGCTCTGCTCTCCCATCTAGACACCCCCTCACTGCTGCTGAGAATCCCTATGATCTTTCTGCCCTCGGTTGCCCAGTCTTGGTCGCCATGGGCTTCCCACATCCCACCCCAGGTCGGAAGTTCCTGATAGCCAATGCACAGATGGAGAACTGTGCCATCATTTATTGCAACGACGGCTTCTGTGAACTCTTCGGCTACTCCCGAGTGGAGGTGATGCAGCGACCCTGCACTTGCGACTTCCTCACAGGACCCAATACCCCGCGCAGTGCCATGTCCCGCCTAGCGCAGGCCCTGCTGGGGACAGAGGAGTGCAAGGTGGACATTCTCTACTACCGCAAGGATGGTGAGCTTCCCTTGTGCCACAGGTTCTGCAGGGCTGACTCGGCCCCTCTCTTGTCCAGCCACAGTGGCCATCGGGAGGGCACTGACCCAGGGACCAGAGGCCCCAACAAATCCTGCTCCTCTCTGCTCCTCAGTTTCCTTATCTGCACGGGGTGGGGTGGGGGGAGGAGCAATAGTCATTGGAATCAATGCCTTCTGAGGTCCTTTCCCAAAGCTGGGGACCAGGGTGACTCACCGACTGATCCTCACTCCAGGCAGGGCCCCCCGCTCCACCATCCCTCCCCCACATCCCCAGTCTCCTGGCTGCCCACTCTGTCACTGTCAGCCCCAGCTGTCAGGCAGCTGGAATGAAAATGAACCTTTCCTCATCTCCGTCTGCTCTGGAGATTAGGGGAGGAGTCACCCCCTCAATGCCTCTGTGGGCAGGCAAGGCTTGGGGGCTGCTTTCTGGGAAACAGGAGTGGACCTGGCTCACCCAGCCCCAGATCGTTGGGGAAATAGAGTCTGGAGTTTGCCCCTACCCAGAGGCTCATCCAGTTTGGGATGTTACTGCCAGCCCACGTTTACTGCAAGCGGGACAAAAGCATGGGGCAGGAGCTGAGGACAGAGCTCCTTTAAGCCCTTTAAGACTCTCCCCCTAGGACCTCAGAGTCTCAGACAGTGGGTGGGAA